GGGCTGTGAAAAATCCCAGGAGAGGGCTGGCCTTAGAGGCAGGCAGGGGAAAAAGAGAGGGAGGGAGCCATGCAGCCCTCTTAGGATTGCAAGAGCATCTCGTCCCAGACTGCAGAAGCAGCTTCAATTAGAGCTGTGACGTGTGACTGTCCTTGTCCCAGGGAGGGTGCTCAGCACAGTGCCAGGGAGCTGGGGGGAGAGTGGCTGGCAGTGGCCTTCCTCCCCATCAGCACCCCAGTCCTCTTGGCTGATCTGCAGGGTGCCACCCCCATGCTCAAATGTGCCTGGGCCTGGGGGGGGACTCAGCGCCCCCTTACAGCCCAACCCCTAATTTCCACAGATAGCACCCTTATAGGTCACGGGAATGTCTGGGGAGTCTGAGGATAGCAGGAATGACCCTCCCCCTACTGGCCTGCCCTTCCTCCCTCCCTGCCCCTCATCCAACACCCCTGCTCCTTCCCGAAGACCATCTCAGGCATCCCCTCCTCCAGAATTCCAGACTATGCCAAGCTAGAACTGCAACTTGTTCACCATGGTTCACCCAGTGCCTGGCACCCTGCCTGGCCCATACTGTGAGCTCAATGAATGTTCGGTGAAAGAATAAATGTTGGCAAAGCATGAACTCTCTTTGCTGACACATGTAATGGCCCCAAATACATGTCTCATTTATCCAGACAGACCGAAGTCTCTGATGGAAGGACCTAGAACATGCATTCATTCATGCCTTTTCTTAATGCAACCAGCACGGGCCGAGATCCTGCTCCATTCCCAGCCCTGGGAATCCACAAATGACTGGACGCCGTCCTGCCCTTGAGGTGTGCACCCCGTGGCCACGCACACCTCAGCATGGCGCATTTTACAGAGACTGAAGCTCAGGCCACGAAAGCTCCTGCCATCCAGTGGCTCTGCCCAGCCAAACCTGCACTGCTCTGGGCTTGTGGGACACTCGAGTCACTCCCGGAGAAGCCTGGCCCTGGGCACAGGCTGCCTGGGTCTCCTGCCCAGGGTCCCTCAGTTTCCCACCCGGAGAACAAGGGCCATGAAGCTGCCCTCACAGGGCAGGGCTGGGGTGCAAGAAGCCACCCATTTAGGGAACGCTGGGAGGCTCAAGCTCAGCCTGCCTGGGGCTTGGCAAGTGGCTCGTCCTACCTTGAGGTAGGTGTGTCTGGCAAAAAGGGGGTCCTTCGTCTAATTCATGGAAAGTTACCATAAGGGCGAGCACCTGGGTATGAAAGGATGTGTGCAAAGCGCCTAGTCCTGGGTTTAGGTGCTAGTAAGTGGGAGCCACATTTTTTTTTTTTTAAAGATTTTTATTTTTATTTATTTGAAACAGAGAGAATGAGAGACAGAGAGCATGAGAGGGAGGAGGGTCAGAGGGAGAAGCAGACTCCCCGCCAAGCAGGGAGCCCGATGCGGGACTCGATCCCGGGACTCCAGGATCATGACCTGAGCCGAAGGCAGTCGCTTAACCAACTGAGCCACCCAGGCGCCC